GTGGCTGACTCTTAACTTTTATAAAGAATATCTCTTTGGATTTGAGACTTTAGTCTTTGCAACTTTACAGATCTTCTTTATGCACCAAGAGCTTGTAACACTCCAAAGAGAAAGGAAAAATTTAAATCGCATGATATGACCCCTTTAATTAAGCATTGGTCTCCCACATTAGCATACATTTAAAGGGGTCATATGATGCATGATGCAGTATTGTTGTGGCCGCTGCCATGTCGTGGAGACGCTGTGTGCTTCGTTGTGAAAGCGAAACTACTTTGTTTGGCCTTCCAAAAGAGCACGATATCCGCTTCGTCATGCCTGGAGCTGATCCGTGCTGGTTGCTGAGGAAATACTTATGATTCGCGCTGTGGATCGCCGGATCGGCTTTCACCGTGGACGAAGCGGAGTCCAGCCCGGGGTCATCACATGTGGTTGCCGCGATAAACACAGTAAAAACCACACAAATAGCACCTCAATACCATGGTAAAAATGGTAAAAATCATTCAGTATAAATGCACACATGCTATAGCTTAATCACAAATACATACTATAATTATATACCATTACTCCTGTAATAAAATTCAGTGTGAATATCCCACATTTCTACCAGAATTCCATGGTGCAGTGAGTGTTACTACAGTAAAAACCATGGTAAATGATGTCGACGTGTAGATTGAAAAGCTTTCTGACTGTCTCGTTGCACACGGTGTTTCTCCTGTTCGGCTTTAAACTAAATCACAGAGTCATTTGTGTTCATCGCTGAATACAAGCGCTTCACACTGGATCTCACAGTGCTGCTTAGTGCTCGCGGGACTGAAGTAAACGCATCTGATCTAGTGAGCTCGCGCCGCGCGGCAGTTTGAACTTTGATCCGAGCGGAAAAACGGTCTGTGTGGCTGTTTCGTTCCGCTTTTGGCGCATAAACATTATATCGAGCATTTATCAAACTCTTCATATTGTTTTATCGAGGAAAATTATATCGCAATAATTATCGTTATCGAATTATCGCCCAGCCCTACGTATTAGCATAAATTATTACTATCAGGAGAAAATTCCCCACAGTGTCCATCTTTTTCAAAATCCACTGTCCATTAAACATATTTTACTAAAAAAAAAAAAAAAAGGAAAAAGAAAAAAATCTACGGGCTTTCGTAGAAATAAAATATACATATTATAATAAAAAATGTAAACAAAAATTAGGCATTTAACTCAGTTAAATAATAAAATAATTTACTTAAAGCTATATAAACAGCTAAAATTGAACTAAAACTGAAGTAAAAAAAATTTAATATTTAAAAGGAACAAAAATGAAATTAAGAATAAAAAATGATTAGAAATTAAACTAAAATTAAAATTGAGAAAATATGAATACAAACTCTAATACAGTGGTCTCAAACTCAGTTCCTGGAGGGCCACAGCTCTGCAGAGTTTAGCTCCAAATCACACCTGCTTGGAAGTTTCTAGTGATCCTGAAAACATTGATTAGCTGGATCAGGTGCGTTTGATTAGGGTTGGAGCTAAACTGTGCAGAGCTGTGGCCCTGCAGGAACTGAGTTTGAGACCAATGCTCTAATAGAATAAAAATAATACTAAAAGAACACTGCTTCATTGTGATGGGCAAATGAAGCCTCATGAAGCACTGGGGCTTTCCTCTGACTGTTTCGGGAAAAGATTCAAAGCTTAGCGAGTGTCAAAAATAGCGCCATCTGGTGGTCAATAAAAAATATAGTTGCCAAAAGCCTGTGAAAATAGTGTGTGGGTGTGGGTGTGTGTGTGTGTGTGTGTGTTTGTTAAAATTCTCTCTCTGATAAAATAATTTACCCATTAAACTGTGGCATTAAATGCCAATATGAATATCAATATGATGTAATAGAAGAATAATGTACACATATGAATTGCATATGCCAAATATTTTTTTTTCTGAAATAGTTTTTAATCTTCATATTACTTGTATGGCTGGGTATTTAAAAATGTAACTGAATAAGTCTGAATGAAAACTTACTCGTAAAGTAAGATCTGGGGTTTCGAACATTCCGACATGCTCACGTGATTTGACAGATAGTGAGGCTTCATTTTCTGCTGATCACGTGATTCTCTGAAAACAATACGCGCTCCGGCACAGAGCTTCGTGAAAAATTGCGCTGCTTACACGATACGCGCTTTGAAGCTTCAGTGTCATGTAACATCACTACTGCTTCATATGCGGCATTACTACAGTTGTCAAGCACATCTGAGCTGCTGGTTTGATCGTATCTGTATTCCTCTCAGCCGGTTCATAATAAAGGATCCAGTGACTATGGCAGTCTGGGTAGTAATGGCTCCCACGAGCACTACATCAGTGTGGCGTCGTCCAGCGACAGTAACGGAAACCTCTGGGAGGATTCGCACAGAGAACCAGTACGTCTGAATGTGCATGTAAAGTCACATATGAATGTTGGTTTGCATGGGCCTTACGATGGATCTTTCGTCTTGCAGATGACATTGCAGCAGTTTTGTGCTGATGTCAATAAAGTGAAGAACTGGGGCCAGCAGGCGTATCTGGACTCCCGGAGGAAGCTCACACCTTTAGGACCAGCCGCTGCAGGTCTGGAGTATGTCTTCTCTGCATCTGTCTTCAGTCATCTCATCAGCTCATCTTGATGTAATCATATTTGAACGGTGTGTGTTCCCGTCAGTGGCGGCAGCAGGCGTTCATCCGAACACTAGTCAGGGTTTGGGAATTCGAGCTCATCTAAAGCAGTCTCTGCAAGAAGCGCGGAAACAGCCACACATTCCATCCTACCAGCAGATCAACTGTGTGGACAGCATCATCAGGTGAGGTTAAATGTGATAATGAATTTACATATGCAGTCCATTTTAGATATTACATAACAGTATAAATATAAATACTATATATACTAGCTGAAACGGGCTTTCATAGAAATAAAATATACAGATTATATAAAAAAATGTTATATTGGTTATTTTCTTATTTTGGAAATTAAAAGAAAGAAGTTTACATTTAAAATAACAGTGTAGTGATGTCTATTTTTGAATAATCCAGCAAATTAAATGTTTTTCTGTAGTAATTAAATTTATTAATGAATTTGAATATATAATCCATTTTTATTTTATTTTTCATTTTTTATTTTTATTTATTTATTTTATTTTTTATTTTTTTTAAAGAAAGTGGGTTACATTCTAAATAACAGTTTAATAATGAGTAGTTTAGGATAATTAAGCAAATGAAAAAAAACATTCTATTTTAATTAGTTCATTTAAATCCATAAAGCTATTATTTTATTTTATTTTATTTTTCTGGAAATTCCAAGAAAGAAGTTTGTTTTAAATAACAGTTTACTAATAAATATTATTGGATCACATAGCAAATGAAATACATTTTCTATAATAATTCATTTAAATTTCAAATAAATATTAAAACATTAAAAACAATGCATTTTTTGACATTATCATTCATTTGTGTGTAGCCAGTGATCTGTTTATGGAGGTTTGTGTTTTTCCTTCTCTAGATATCTGGAGAGCTGTGCGACATCTGCTCTGAAACGAAAGAGCGAATCTTTGTCTGTAGCTACATCATCATCTTCCTCCATGTCTGAGGAAGACAAACCCGCAGCGGCCGCACATGAAGACACTGTGAACACAGACGGTAAGAGCCCTCGAAGTCCATTCCAAGCCTTTCTGTACCCTCCTAAAACCCTGCACAGATTCTGACGTCTTTCTCCCACAGAAGCTGCGCTCGAGGGCGCCGGTGCTCTGGACAGCCAGGTGTCTGCGGGCTCGGCCACGACGGCAGCGGTGGTGGGAGCGCCACTCACAGACATCACAATCTCCACAGAAGCCATGAGCGTGGTGTCCGTCACCAGTCAGTGCAGTTACAGCAGCACCATAGTGCACGTTCCCCAGCCCGAGTCAGGTGAGTGCACACACATACAGTGACCCAAAATGTGTTTGGCCAGTAAAACCATACTTAAACCATACATGAACTGTCTTTAACTGGAAAATTAGTGTTTACTATTGTCATTTTGCATTATTGACACACTATTTTCCTAATTAATTAATGCTGTTCAGTTGCTTTGACACAATCTGTATTGTTAAAAGCGCTATATAAATAAAGGTGACTTGACTTGACTTAAAGGCATAGTTCACCCAAAAATGAAATGCTGCTGTTAATTTACTCATCCTCAGGCCATCCAGATGACTTTTTTTCTTCAGTAGAACAGCAAAGAAGATTTTTTTGCTGAAACCGTGGTACTTGGTGATTCATAAAGTGCAAGTCAGCAGCTGCCCGTTTTTGAGAATAAAAAAAGCATATCAAGGAACACAAAATTAATACCTGTGGCGCCTGATGATATATTAAGGTCTTATGAAGTGAAGCTATCGGTCTGTGCAAGAAACTGAACATTTTTTATAACTTAATTACCTGTAATCCAGAGCCTCAGGTAAACGGTTCAGAGTGATGTCCGATTCATGATTCATTCTTTTGAACAGGTTCTCTAGTTGAATCAGTTCTAGTTGAGCCAAGTTGAACCAAAGTTGAATCAAATCTGAATGAATCGTCTGAAACAAGTTACTCAATCAAAACTCACTTTCGGATGCCTGACTGTCAACTCTGACTCGAAATGAGCCTAAATACTGGTGTATATGATCACATGACGCTGGTTTTTGCGCTCCAGTTCCTCCAACAGTCACTGAACTGAGGAAACAGTTCAACTCGGACTGAGGACCAATGAGCTGCTGATATGCACATGCGTGAACCGTGCACTTGAATGAAGGGGTGAAATTAAAGTTTTTATCGTTTCTCATGGTTTTTGTAAAATGTTGAGCTGGTGAAGACTAGTATATTCACTTTATATGCTTTAGACATGTAAAACATGCACGTTTCACATCATTATTCTTTAATAATATAACTGCGTATATGTTACGTCATTGTGTTATTTTGTAAATGAACTAGGGAATTGAACCAGTTCAGTTCATTCAAATTGAATAAAGTTGTGAATAATGTTCAGTTTCTTGCACAGACCGATCATTTGACTTCATAAGACCTCAATATATCGCCAGGAGCCACGGGTATTAATTTTGTGTTCCTTTAGATGCTTTTTTTATTCTCAAAATCGGGCAGCTGCTGACTTGCATTTTATGAATCACCAAGTACCACGGTTTCAGCTAAAAATCTTCCTTACTGTTCTACTCCAGGTAAAAGTCACCTACATCTGGATGGCCTGAGGTTGAGTAAATTTTCAAAACAAAGATAAGTTTCTCGGCCCATTGATCACCTGCGTCTGCCGCTTGTCTTCTTCCAGAGGTCACTGCCTTAGAAGATGCTCCAATGGGTAGCGAGCCAACAGACTCTGCCCCCACCCCTGCACGCCCCGCCCCCAGCACCTCCTCAGCGGCTCAGGAGGAGTTACTCGTGGTGTGTGTGTGTGTGTTAGCAGTTGTTATTTGTCGGTCTATTGCTTGTGATATTCTTCATTTGTTAGTTGCTTTGGATAAAATTGTCTGGAGCAAAAGAAGATTGACGTTGTCTGACTGTCAGTGGATTATTTATTTGATTCTATTATAAAAATAACTATTTTAGATGCAAAGTCGGCAACACCAAAGCTCCAAAAGTATCAAAAAATTTATTTTTTAAAAAGACTGTCGCATAGCATATGTGACGTTTCGAGCACGCAGGCTCTTCATCAGACAAATGAACAACACTGATATCGCAAACTTTATAGGCCTACCTCCAGGTGATCAAAGGTCACATGACCATACAATATTATCGTGATAATAATAATACCAAAACAATAATGATATTCTTCATTTGTTAGTTGCTTTGGATAAAATTGTCTGGAGCAAAAGAAGATTGACGTTGTCTAATCAGTGTCTGACTGTCAGTGGATTATTTATTTGATTCTATTATAAAAATAACTGCATTTTATATATATATATATATTTTTTTTTTTATCTGAAAATTAAAAAAAATTTAAGTATTAACAATGTGATAATGTTATTGGAAAATCCAACAAATTAAATATTTTTTATAATAATTTAATTGATACTTTATTTAAATATACAGTACATAAAGATAATAGTCTGTATATTATATTCAGTTATATTTTATATTACTGTAAAAAAAACAGTATGTCTATAATTGTATATTCTAGCATTTTTTTTATAATAAAAGATAAGCACAATCTCATTTTAATTCTGTCTAAGTAAGTGGTACCCTATAAAGCCATCCATGGCAGTGTTATTCTTGTATAATTGAAATACTAATATAATTTTTTAATAATATTTTGATAAAAAAAACAGTATGTCTATAATTGCATATTCTAGCATTTTTTTTATAATAAAAGATAAGCACAATCTCATTTTAATTCTGTCTAAGTAAGTGGTACCCTATAAAGCCATCCATGGCAGTGTTATTCTTGTATAATTGAAATACTAATATAATTTTTTAATAATATTTTGATAATAATTAGTGCTTTGATTATATGGATCGCCCGGTTTCATTTTAATTTTAGTTATGTAAATTTAATTTCAGCTTTAGTTATTTTAGTACATAAAACTGATTAAAACTGAATGTGTGTATATTTTTTTTAAATGTTTTTTTAAAGAAGTCTTTTATGCTCATTAAGGCTGCATTTATTTAATCAAACACAGTAAAAGTAATATTGTGAAGCATTATTACAATTTAAAATAACGGTTTTGTCTTCTAATATACTTTAACATGTAATTTATTTCTGTGATGCAAAGCTGAATGTTCATCAGCCATCACTCTAGTCTTCAGTGTCCAGGGTGTCCGCGGGGTCTTAAAAAGTATTAAAAGTTGATAAATCAATTTAGAGAAAATTAAGGCCCTTAAAAAGTATTAAAAAGTCTTAAATGCCATTTTCCAAGGTATTACATTTTGTATCATCTTTTCATTATGTATATTTGTCGAATTGTGGGGTTCTGTGTATTTTATTTATGGAATCCCGAAAGATTTGACGTCATCTGTTACGGCGCTCACTGACTGACTGCGCTGCTGCGTGATAGCGCGGGGCTTGTTGATCCCGCTTTCGCTGAATTTCTGACCATTATCGCATGCTCCCATCCGCTCCCGCGATTTTTGTGTCCGCTCCCGCAAACATTCTAATATTGTATATAATTTTTGCGCATCATGGCGCCGCTATCAATATGTGGGGTATTTAAATCCCTTTTGAATGAACGCTCGCAGTCGTAGATTGTGTGCGCACTGTGTAAAGGGAGCACATCCTACGATAAAAGATATTTGTCAATGCACTCGGGATCTGTTGAGGAGCAAATCCTCCAACATCTTGTCAGTTATCTCTCCTTACTTTTGACCCATGATCAGTCAATCTGACTTCTGCAGCTCGTGTTGGATGCAGGGTTGTTGTTGTTTTGTTCCACGAAATTGGGCTGCTTTTAAACTGTTGCCATGGGTTGATTTTCCC